GGCTACGAGTGGGAATGCATCTTCAACGAGACCATCAAGAGCCTCGGTTGGATGCCGTGCCCGGGCGTCCCCGCCATGTTCTCCTACCACGGTGAGCACGGCGAGGCTCGCATGATCACCATCGTTGACGACTTCATGATCTCCGAGGTCAACGGCACCGCCGCCACCGAAGCCACCATCGCCGCGCTCAAGGCCGCGTTCGACGGCGAGGTCAAGGTCGATTACAGCCCCTTATATCTCGTATTGTTTTTATATCTGATCTTATCTCTCATTCGTACTTGTGCATGTAGATTTACGAAATCCGCCGGAAATGGCTTTGGCTGTGCGGCATGGCGCTCCTCTGGGGCGGGGTATCTCAGGGTAAGTACAGTAAGTAAGGGCAAGGCGCGCGGGGCGGACCGGAGCATGCACAGTTTGCACACAGTGGCGCGTGCTGACAGCGAGCGGGTGCGATGCAGTTGGAGAAGCCAGGCGGGCCGGGGATGCGCGCACGTGGTCGTTGGGAGGCGCGATAAGGCCGCAGTCGGCACGAGGGCGCTCGGGCTCGGCGCGTGGCGGCGCAGCACGGGCACGAGCTGGGCGTGCGGGCTCTCGGCGCGGGGCGTGGGGCGGCGCAGCACGGGCACGAGGTGGGACGTGGATGGGCGTGCAGTCTGCACTTTGTTTGGTGATGCGTTCTGTGTTACTGCTGACGTGTTATTATACCAAAAAATATGGTGATGTGTGACGTGTGATTTGTCTAGCTCTTGACTCTTCTCAAATGGTTGTCGCCCGCACCTGGCGGCTGGGGCTGCCATCGCCAGTACCAGCCGCGGCGGCGGCCTGCTGGTCGTCCATGACAGCAGCCATAGGGGCCTGCTGGGGGCGCCCACCGCCTCGCTCGTCGCCCAGCCCGAGTAGCGCCCGCTGCAGCGGCTCCTTCGGCTCCTCAAGGCCGTGCACCGCCAACATGCGCCTCACGAGCGCGGCGCGCGCCTGCGCCTGCCCCGTGCCCTCCCACATCGAGCGCGGGCGCAGCGCGACCATCTGCACGAAGCGCGCACGGCACTCGGCGCCGGCGGGCGACTGGTCGGGCGCCGAGCCGTGCACGAGGCGCGCGTCCCACACGATCATCGAGCCCTCGCGCACAGGCACCCGCTGCGCAATCTTTGGCAGGTGCGAGTGGTCGGCGTAGTCGTAGCGGAAGCCGCTCTCGTGCGCGGGCTCGGGGCCGAGCGCCTCGACCCACTCATCGAAGACCGCGTGCGAGCCGGGGACGCAGAGGAAGCCCGCGTCCTCCGCCTGGTTGTCGCTAAGCGCGAGCGTGCCCTGCGCGTGCGGGCCCAGCGCGCGCGTGATGCAGTTGTTCTGCTTGAAGAGCGCCTCGTGCGAGCGGAAGTCCGCCGCGGCGAAGGCCGCGCGCACGCGGGCGCCCTCGTGCGCGTAGTACTGCCACGGGTTGATGTCGAGATGCACGTTGCGCCGCGTCCGCTCGCCCAGCCGGTAGAACGCCCAGCGGTCGTGGTTGCACAGCAGCGAGGGCGCCTCGCAGCCGAGCGCCGTCGCGAAGCCGGCGGCGACGCGCGGGTGGTGCCGATTCCTCACCAGCTGCTTGCGCCAGATTGCCGACGAGTCGCCAACGTTGGGAGTGCCGAACACCTTGCTCTTCCAGGCGGTCCACGTCGCCGTGTCGTCCGCGCGAAAGTCGGGGCAGATGCTCTGCACGTACGAGAGGATGTCCTGGCGAGAGGCCTCGGTCTCCGCCTCGTCTAGCACGCCCCGGAAGACGACGAAGCCAAACGTTCGATAGAAAGCCGCGGCGCCCTCGTCGTCCACGTCGAAGGACTGCGCGTAGCGCCAGTCGTCCTCATCGCGCGGCACCTCGAGGCGGGGCACGTCCGCCTCCACCCGCTGTGCAGAGGGTGACACCAGGAAGTCGCGGCCGGGCTTGGCGCCCTGGTTGGCGGGCTTGGCGGGCTGATTGGCAGCCCCTCTCTTCGGCATGTCTCACAATGCCGCTCTTTCGTCGGGCGAGGCGAGGACACAATGCCGCTCTTTCGTCGGGCGAGGCGAGGACGCGTCCGAGCGCATATATATATATGGGCACCTGTTTTTTATTTTTTGAGCTAGACTTCGTTGTTGAGCACTTGAGCACTACGCGTAGCGCGACCCTTGGGCAGGATGAAGTGAGGGCGTTTGGTTCTCGCTGAAAGGCGCAGAATTTCGCCTGTGCCACAGCATGGAGAGGACGGTTCATGTCCGCGCTGCGATTGACCCCGAGCAAGTCGCACGGGCCCGATCGACTGGCAGCGGAGTCGAGGACCGGCCGTGGCACCAAGCTCCATGGCAGCAGGACGAGCAGGGCCACCATTATACGCCGCCCAAAAAGGCGGCGCCCGTCGGCTCCTCGGTCGTTGAAGTTAAAAGGAACAAGCGAAGGCACACACGACATGACGCCAAACACACGATTGCACGCACCGCACCGCACCTTGCACCCGCGCGCGCGCCCGCCGCCCCACCGACCCCCGCCCCGCCTAGGTGGGAAAGAGATGAGGAGATGGAACAGCCCGAAGGAGGAGGTACAAGCACGTATGGGAGGGTTCAATGATGCGCCACGCTGCCCGGCGTTTCTCACTTTCCGGGACAGCCCCACCCTTTTGAGGCAGGAAAGTGACGGCTACCCCGTACGCCCTCAGGAACCTGCTACTCGAGTACCCCTTCGCCGACCGCCCATCCCCCCTCCCCTTCCCCAACCCCGACGAGCCGATGACCAAGCCTCTGCCAGCGCGCCCCCGAGCCCCTCCCCCCCCACCCCCCCCCCACCACCACCACACACACACATACACACACACACACACCGCCGCCGCGCGAGCGCCGCGCGGCGGCACACCCAGCTCAAAAGAAAAAGAAAAAAGGAATGAGGAGAAGACCAGCGAGGGAGACTCCCCGCCTATGCAAGCCCCAGAGAGGGGCCGCCATCGCCGAAGCTGTGCCAAAGCATAACTCCAAAACCCGCAG